GTGTGTAGGAGTGAGGGGGGACTCCTTTCACGTGGGGGCTTCTCCATTTATAGAGAGCCAATCTTGGAGAAGAAGCCAAGCTATAATTGCATGTCTCTAAAGTCAAGTGAGCCTTAAAAGACATTAATGAATTATGGCCAAAAGATATGATGGAGTGCCATTAAGGGCTTTAATGTGGCCTTATCCTTCTCTCTCTCTCTCTCTCTCTCTCTCTCTCTCTCTCTCTCTCTCTCTCTCTCTCTCTCTCTCTCTCGGCTTCTCCCTTTATTCCTTGGCCGACTCTCTCTCGATTCCCTCTCTTCTTGGCCGAGTCTTCCCCTTGTCCCATGCGCATCATTGGTGACCATGAGTCACCTTGCTGCATTAATAAGGCTAGACAACTTAGCTAATCAGCCATTAAGAACGGGGACACCTAAGCTTAGGGTTCAATTATTAGTGGTTTCTAGAGAGAACTTGACTTGTTCAACAATTTTGTCTTCTTGTTCTCTCAATATCTGAACCGTGAAACCTTGTCTAGACTTCCTGAGCATGCTGGTTTCACTCACAAACTACTCGGGCCAATCGGTTTACACAAAACCAACTAATCAATACTTAATTCGCAACCCCGCATCATGCTTATTCCGCTAGTTTTCTAAGGGTTTTCCACGCTTGGTATACCCGTTCGATCCGAGGTTTGGTGTAGGAAAACCTCCACATATAGCTAAGTATGACCAAGCAAAGGTCTAAGTCCATTGGTGTCAATTCGGGCCAGTCGGGTTGCCCAGGCGCGTGGCCTGTCTAATCAAGCCTGACTGGGCGCATGGTCTGGCATGCTACCGAGCTGCACGGGCGCATGGCCGAGCATATGGCCGGGCGCGGTGACGGGTTGCACGAGCGGCGCGCTGAGCACAATACTGACCCGCACGAGCAAGGGGCCAGTTCATAGGTCTAACACATGCATTGGCTCATGCATGGGCACAATGCATGGCTCATGGCCAAGTCCATTGGGCACGGGACTAGATCAGAACCGGATCTGATGGGCACGTTGCCTGGCACAAGGGTTAAGCACAATGACTGGCACACGACCGGGCACATAGCCGGTCCGTGCCCTAACTAACGGGCACATTGGCCGGTCATGTCCGGGCACTAGACCTGGCCGGCGTGGCTGGCACATAGCCTAGCTTGCGGCCCAGCCATTAGGCTCGTGGCCTAGCACATAGCTCGTCCATGGCCTACCTAACTCGACGCGACGATCCGTGACCGATTCACAACCGGTCCACGTTCGAGTATCAACAACTTATGGTCAACCCATGATCAACCCTCGGTTGTCATGTAGCCTCGTAGAATTTAGTATCCCGAGATTAACTCATGGTTATCCGTGATCGATGCATGGCCGTGTGGTATCACCCGCGACCGACACATAACGACACAGTACTGATCGATAGCTATCCTGGACTGTCCCACTAACGGCCCTAATGGTCGAAGGGTCAATCCACAATCATATCACTCTAATCGTCTTGCGTGAGTAGGGAATCATTCCACTGTCGATCCCTAGGCCAATTCATGAACAATCTTTCGATCGAACCATAACCAACCCTTAGTACACTCGTTTTGACCATATTGTCCGTTCCATTACCGATCCTCGATTTGAATTACCTGCTCATGCTTCTACCACATACCTTCGGCTTCCTAGGTCCGAATTTCGGGGATGTCACATGAACTCATTAATTGTACCGAATTAATGGCCAAAATCCATCATGATATGATACATGTAAGTAATAACGCACGTATTGAACCTTTTTTTCCTTTATAATATGTAATGTAGAATATTGAAAAAAGATTTTCAATTTGTTTGCATAGTTTTATTGCTTTGTATGTGTTATTAGATATTCACATAAAATGCTTGATACCAATTAGTCCCTCTCCATTAGGAGTGAGCACGGTTCTAGAGTTGAATCTGGAACCTGAGAGCTGAATCGGTGGGAACTTATCCAGTTCCAGGTTCCAAGGTATGCAATGTAGGTTCCAGGTTTCAAAAATTGCGGAATTTATTTTGATGGGGAGGTTCCGATTTCTAGGTAGGTGGAATGTGGAACAAATTTTTGTGTTTTTCTTGATATATGTCTTCATGCGATCCTGTGTTATTTTATGGTATCCGATGACGAGTGTATAATCTGAAATCACTAGTATGAGCTTCAATATTATGATTGAGACTTTTACTTTGTTAATATTTCGTGTGTCTAAATATAAGTTGTGGTCAGTGGATTGTAACGGAAAATAATAGTCATTAAAGGTAATGATTCACTGCAATCATTCAATTAATAAATACATGTGGAACTTGAGTAGACCTTGGAACCGACCCTATAACCTGTGATAGGGTAGGTTCTAAGTTCCAAGGTATGCATAGTAGGTTTCAGGTTTCAAAAAACAATAAACTTGTTCTAACGGGTAGGTTCCAGGTAGAACTTATAAGAAACATGGAGTTGCTCACCCCTACTCTCCATAAGTTTGTAACACAAACAATAAAAAAGGATATGGCTGCCTAATAAATTCTTTTTCTTTACTGAATATATTTATTTTCTTTACTTTTTTGCCTCCAATGATTCATGAATTTGTTCATGAAGCTCTTATCGGCGTGTCATTAATGAATGGATCCTTGAAGTCAATAGAGTTGTCGGGGAAGAATGCATTGTTCCTAAAGGGATGAAATTATTGTTTGCTCCATAAAGAGATTTTTAAAGAATACAATAATACACTTTGGCTCCGTTCATTTCATGAAAAATGTGACGTTTCTAGAAAATATTTTCTAGAAAGTTATTTTTTAGGAAAATGACAATATTTTTCAGTGTTCAGCTGACACTTGAAAATGAACTGGAAAATATTTTCCATTGTTCGATAAGAAAAATCTGATTTGATTCTTGCACTCATTTTAATAAATTTTTTTATTTTATTTTAAAAAAAATCAAATTTTCAATTTTCAATTTTTAAATTGCAAATATTTTAATAATTTTTATATTTCTTTTCTTTTTTATTCTCTTATTTCTTCCTTTGCCAAATCGCCAGCCATAGCGAAGGCTAGCGACCGGCCATAGGCCAACCTCGCCGGCCTCAAGCGAGGCCTCGCCTCCCCAGATCTGGCGAGGCGAGGATACTCTTAGGCTCAAGCCTCGTCGGCCTCCCGCGAGGCGAGGCCCGAGCTCGCTGGCCTTGGGCGAGCGAGACCCGAGCTCGCTGGTGGCCGATCAGTGATCATCGCCATGGCCGGCGACCAGAGAGGAAGAAAGAAGAGAAAAAATAAAAGAAAAGAAAAGAAAATAAAAAAATGTGTTTTGTGAAAGAAAGTGAAGTGGAAGAAATATATTCACTCTCCGTTAGTTTCCATTAAAATAAAAATAAAAATAAAAATTTACCTTCCGTTAGTTTTCGTTAAAATTTACTATTAAATTGCCTAATTAAATGACACGTGGCAGTTTACAGATGTACCAATTTGGAGTTTTACCATCAGTTTGTCACGTGTAAACTAGTTTGTGATTTTTTTTTGTATTAATCAAATTTACCGGAGGGTAAATTTGTCACAGATATATCAGTTTGGGGTTTTCGGTGGTCAAAAAATTAATTTGTGATAAATTTGTCACAAACATACCAGTTTGGGGTTTTTCGTGGTATTAACCATATGTACATAAGATAGATTTGGTTATATATTAATAAAAAGACAAAAAAAAATTTAACCGAAGCATCGATAAGGGGGGAAATCAAATAGGTCGGACCTACTCACGATCACGTTGCGTGTACAACCGGTGACCTATTGATATTGCTCGATTGCAACATGTTTGAATGGAAACCACTCTTTTTTATCCTTTTTCTTTTTCTTTAGAAGCTGGGGAGCTTGGTCAATAAAATTAGACTCAATTCATCTTAGATAGATAAAAAAAAGTTAGTTTGTGTGGAGCAGAATCTACTTTAAGTGAATTTATTTGCACATTGACAATTTTACCGTTCGTTAGTTTTTACTAAAAATTACTGTCAAATTTTTGAGTTGGATGACATATTTCAGTTGATTGGTGTACTAATTTGAGATTTTACCCCCCGTTTGTCACAAGTGTACGGTTTGTGTTTTCCATGGTATTAATTCAATTTAATAGAGGGTAAATTTGTCACAAATGCACAAGTTTGAGGTTTTTTGTGGTACGAGAATTATTTTGGAGTAAATTTGTCATAGGTGTACCAATTTAGGATTTTTGATTGTCAAAAAATTAATTTATAGTAAATTTATCACATATGTACAAGTTTATGATTTTTTATGGTATTAACCATTTATTTTTAACTAGGAAACATTTCAAAATACAACTGTTAGCATATAAAATCGCTAAACCTGTTAAATGGGTTTTTAAATCGTATATAATTTTTGTGATTCTTTATAATCGCAATAACTTTTCCGGCTTTCGAAAATTTACAGGAAAAGTCCGAAATAACCTATAAGCGCAGGCAAATTGGCCGCAAATCATGCGGGCAAAAAACGGAAGGATCTCAAAAGTTCAGGGGCATAAAAGTAATCTCATGGAGAATAAACTGCAGACAGACAAGCGGGCTTTTTTTTTTTTATATAAAAAAGGGAAAACGAGAAGAAGAGCGTCATTCGAAACGACGTCGAAGAGCCATTTTTGCACCCCCTCCCTACTTCCGACGCCTTTTGCCTCATCTGTCCGTCCCAAAAACACACAGCCTCGCCTCCATTCTCTCTTCCGCAGCGAAGCTCCGACAGCACAAAACCCTAATCCCCATCTCCATCTCCATCTCCATCTCCATCTCTCTCTCTCTCTCTCTCTCTCTCTCTCTGTCTCTCCACCTCCGCGAAATCCGCTTCCGTCGAGCTCGATCCCGCTCGTCGCCCGCCGTCGGTCCGTGCGCACTCGTCGGCGGCGGCTGCTCACGGCTTCGGTCCCGTAAGGGAAGAAGGCCCCCCTCGCGCGCGCGCGCCGATCTCGTCCGGGAAGAGAGAGAGAGGGAGGGAGGGAGGGAGGGAGGGAGGGATCAGCGACGACAAGCAGAGAGCGGGGGCAAGATGAGGATCATGATAAAGGGCGGTGTTTGGAAGAACACCGAGGACGAGATCCTCAAGGCCGCCGTCATGAAGTACGGCAAGAACCAGTGGGCTCGCATCTCGTCCCTCCTCGTCCGCAAGTCCGCCAAGCAGTGCAAGGCCCGGTGGTACGAGTGGCTCGATCCCTCCATCAAGAAGGTGCGTGTTTGCTTCTGTCTGTGAGCTCTTTGTGGTGTTCTTTTGTAGGCGCTTGTGGTAAATTTCGGGTCTGGTCATTTGATTTTGCTCTGGGTGTCGGTAGTGCACCTTTAAGATTGACGACTTTCGTGTTGTTTTTATCTGTGAACAACTGCGAGTAAAGGGTTTTTGAGTGCTCTAAATTTCGGGTCTAGTCATTTGATTTTGCTCTGGGTGTCCGCAGTGCACCTTTAAGATTGACAACTTTCGTGTTTTTTGTCTGTGAACAACTGTGAGGAAAAGGGTTTTTGAGCGAGTGCTCTAATTTTGATGGAGCAGAATTCTCGGCGGAATGGTCCCGTGCTCTAGTAAATTTGCACTAGGCTTTGAGAAGTATATGGGTCTACTTTGTGGGATGTTTGGTTGAGCATATGCTGAATTTATTCTCCTTTTGATTCTCGTAGACGGAATGGACACGGGAGGAGGACGAGAAGTTGCTGCATCTTGCCAAGCTCATGCCTACTCAGTGGAGGACCATCGCCCCTATCGTTGGCCGTACGCCCTCTCAGTGCCTCGAGCGGTATGAGAAACTACTTGATGCAGCCTGTGCTAAGGATGAGAACTATGAACCTGGAGATGACCCGAGGAAATTGCGGCCTGGGGAGATCGATCCAAACCCAGAGTCGAAGCCGGCACGCCCAGATCCTGTTGATATGGATGAGGACGAAAAGGAAATGCTTTCGGAAGCAAGAGCTCGGTTGGCCAACACTAGGGGCAAGAAGGCTAAGAGGAAAGCTAGGGAGAAGCAACTGGAAGAGGCCAGGAGGCTAGCTTCTTTGCAGAAAAGAAGAGAACTGAAGGCTGCTGGTATCGATAATAGGCACAGGAAAAGGAAAAGAAAGGGGATAGACTACAATGCAGAAATTCCCTTTGAGAAAAGGCCTCCTCCAGGTTTTTTTGATGTTGCTGATGAAGATGGACCAGTTGAACAGCCCAAGTTTCCGACCACGATAGAGGAACTTGAAGGAAAAAGAAGGGTGGATTTGGAAGCACAACTAAGGAAGCAAGACATAGCTAAGAATAAAATCGCGCAGCGGCAGGATGCACCTTCTGCTATACTTCAAGCCAACAGGCTAAATGACCCTGAAACTGTTAGGAAGAGGTCAAAATTGATGCTTCCAGCTCCCCAAATATCAGACCATGAACTTGAAGAAATCGCCAAGATGGGTTATGCTAGTGATCTGGTGGGTAATGAGGAACTGATGGAAGGGACCTCTGCAACTCATGCTCTTCTTGCGAATCATGCTCAAACACCACATCAGGGAATGACACCTTTACGGACACCCCAAAGGACTCCTGCTGGTAAAGGTGATGCTATCATGATGGAAGCTGAAAATCTTGCGCGTTTGAGAGAGTCACAAACGCCATTATTAGGTGGTGAAAATCCTGATTTGCACCCTTCGGATTTTTCCGGGGTCACTCCTAGGAAAAAGGAAATACAAACGCCAAATCCCATAATGACACCTTCAATGACTCCGGGAGGGGGCTCGACTCCCAGACTTGGCATGACTCCGTCGAGGGAGAATTTTTCTTTTGGTATGACGCCAAAAGGAACTCCCATCAGGGATGAGCTCCATATAAATGAAGAGATGGATATGAATGATGGGGCAAAGCAGGAGCTAAGACGACAGGCTGATCTGAGGAAGAATTTGCGCTCAGGTTTAAGCAATCTTCCTCAACCAAAGAATGAGTATCAAATAGTTATGCAACAAATTCCAGAAGATAATGAGGAACCTGAGGAGAAGATTGAGGAAGACATGTCTGACAGGATAGCTAGAGAAAAAGCTGAGGAAGAGGCACGACAGCAGGCACTGCTTAGGAAGAGATCAAAAGTATTGCAAAGGGAGCTCCCTCGGCCTCCTGCTGCTTCTCTGCAATTGATAAAGGATTCCTTGTTGCGAACAGAGGGAGATAAGAGTTCTTTTGTCCCACCAACCCTGATTGAATTGGCTGATGAAATGATAAGGAAGGAGCTTCTCTCGTTATTGGAGCACGATAATGCAAAGTATCCTCTCCAGGATAATACGAGTAAGGGAAAAAAGAAAGGTGGTAAGAACTCTGCAAATGGTAGTACTATTCCTGTGATTGACGATTTTGAGGAGGCTGATATGAAAGAGGTATTTCTTACTTTTAAAGCCCTTCCCTCTGTGAATATTCAACATTTTGTTATTGCCATCTTTCTTTGTCTGTTATTTCCTTTAGACTGTTAACTAGACTTATTAGCATGTGCACGGGAGTAATGCCAAGTTTCAATGAAGGTGAACATAACAAATATCGAACCATATAAACTTCTAAAGAGCATAGATTATCATTCAAGATACTCAAAAGGCACTATTGTTATCTTATTTCCCTTTTTTTACCCGTGTATGAGATACTCTATTGGTATTAATATGTGAGACTTAATAGCTATACTCATCTCTCAATTGTGTTATGTTATTAAGGACTGGTACTTTTTGCTTCATTCTTTATTTCTTAATGATTGGTTTTTCCATCCGATCAATATTTGAGTTTTGAGTAATGAGAGATTTGACAGTAATGATTAAAAAACCTTGAGGCTAGGAAAGGAGGGTGACTGTCCCATGACTATAATTGTAGTAAATAAACTAAAATAGAAAAAAGTTGGAACTAAGACATGTGTCACCGAAAGAGAGGACCACATGCTAGCTCCTCATTGACTTCTCATAAGTGCACCAAAATAGATTTATTTAATTAGGTTTGATCTGAACCATCTCAAACCTACAACCATGCTTTGGTAGTGGTGTGTCTGGATAGAGACGTACTTGTAGTAACTTCTTAGTAACCTTTGAGTTTCCCTTCTGAACAAAATTAACTGTTTAGTTCGCAAAACATTAGGGAAATATATGGGGTGATTTTAAATGCTTATGTTCATGTCCTTCTAAAGATTCTGGGAGTTTAATGCAAAAAGAGAAAAAAAGAAAAAAGATAAACTTGCCCATCCAACGTTAAAAGTAAGAGTCAAAAATAAAAATTCTAAATTAAAAACCACCCAAACACCATTTGGACCTTCAGGGTTTTGTCTTGCTATCTGTTTCAAATGGTTAATTTTGCTCTCATTGATTCTAGGTCCCGGTGTAACTAGATCTGCATGCCGTCAAAAGTCTTCTGTTTTTGGTAGATTTGGTTGTGCTAGATGATTAATTTGTTCCAGAATTGTTGCAAGTTCCTTCGTTCTATTGTTGGGGATTTTTTTTATATTCTTTTATCTCTTGCACTTTTTTGCGGCTCTTTATGCCAGTTTCTTTTGTCTTGGATTACAAGGAAGTTCTGTTTTTTATATTAGTTTTAACTTGCTTTCTATTTTCATCTTTAGTGACATATATTGTTAATATATGGCACTGAATATTTCTGACTGGTTCAACACCATTTCCAAATTTCAATCTAGTTTTGTTAGTGTACTCTCTCTGTTCTTTTCATTAAGTGATGGAGAACAGTGGCAACAACCTTTGAAGACTTACAAAAGGCACGCCAAATGAAGCTTTGCTGATTATTTTCTTTGATTGATCAGGAATCTTCTTAAGTGATTGGAGTCTATTAGGATTTTAATAAGTTTCCTTTTGCGTGTTGGAATTGGATTTAATGTTTCTTCTTCCTTGTTGGTAGTGGATATGTGTGTCGTAGTTTTATTAGGATATATTAGGTAACCTATTTGGACATGGAGCAGTACTTTAGACAGTCTATATATATGATTGTAATTCTTTCTTTTGAATAGAGTCGATGATTCATTGAATTTGGCAATTCTTTCCTTTGGAGCTCTGTGATGCATTTCCTCTTAGGTGTGACGCTTAAGAAACCCTAGGTATGATGCTTAGGAAGCTTTGCAGCCTAAAGATTTATCCTTTGTTGTGGGACTCGTCGTCCTACATCATTAAGTTTGGTGCTGCTTATGAGACTTATGATGTAATAGCAAGATGGTCTACCCTGGCTTTCAGTCCATGGATAAGAGATACTAAGAATTTTCTTTGGGTTGTTGGGAGAAGGCCAAATACACTTGACTCTCTTGGACACTCCAATGTGAGACTCTGGTTCTGGCTGCAGCTATGCTTGAAAAATGAGTGCGGTACAGTTTTTCTTCTGACCAATCAAGTACCATTTATGGAAGTAGAGACAAAAAATGCACGTGAACTTGGTTCCATTTGGTATAGTTTGGAGGGAACCAACTTTTCTCTATAGATTTGCGCAAGAGAATCCAAGTAATAGATGGCAGAGATAGTTCAAGAAAGATTTGGGTATCTCAGCAATCCCATGTATGCGCTAACATGTTTGTGTGTCTTGCCTCCCTTAGTAGCTAGTACTTTGGAAATTATAAAAGTCTCTGGAAGGCAAGAAGGGATGTTTCAAAGCTATTCATGGGTTTGTAAGTCCCAGGTAAAGGACTAAAAGAAGTTACCCTGCAAGTTAAAAAATTAACTGCAATTGGTAATTGGACAATCTTTGAAATGACTAAGATATCTCCAATTTCACTAAAACTTAAAGTTCAGCATTGTACATATTGGACAATTTAAAACTCTCGGTCAAGAGAATTAAGAAAGTCCAAAATTTATTCTCAAACAAGAATGCTATCCTAGGACTATTTGACCAGCAGATTTAAATGATTCTCCCATTTTGTCAGTTTTCAGCTTCTTTTTAATTTTTAATTTTCCTTTTGATTTGCCAACGTAGTTTAATATTTATCCTTTTATCGTTTTGGTGTTTTTCTACTATCTATAAGTCAAATGAGAACTGTTAAAAGACGAGCTGACACATTTATAATGGACTGATATTTCTCTTGAAATGATAAACAATGCTTCTTATACAAAACGGTTTCAGAAGGGAAGCCTTTGTAATTTTATACAACATCAATCACAAAAGGCCTTGTAACTTTTACGGCAAAGTAACGTTTGAAAGTGAACTTGCCAATATCAATATACCAAAAGTGAAGAGGATTTAACTCCCTGAAATGCCCTTTTATTTGTTTCTGTCCACATGAGCTAATAAGCAAGACATGGTTTGTCTCGTGTCTGCAACTAGACATGAATATTTATCAATTTGGGGTCTTGAAAATGTAATAATGAGGGAATAGAGATAGAATATCCAATTTGTCCTATTGTCTCTATTTTTTCTCCTGCTGTCCTTGTACAATATGGAGGGAATTAAGCGTGCATTTTTGTTAAGCAGGAAAAAGGGGTGAACCTGTTATGATGTTTTGTAGCCAAGTTTATCTGTATCAAGATATTAGACCTTTTATTTAAAAAGGGGACTTCTGCATTTTGATCATAAATTATTTGAGTTGTTTGAAATAATCTTTTGGCTGAACATTCTATTGGTATTGTCAGTTGTGATTTTTTGAGGCTTTATGGGGTTAACTGCAACTATTGAGATGTGGATGAACATTCATACAGCTTCAACAGAATGTGAAGTATCTAATTTGTCTTAGTTTAAGGGTACTCACAGTATTCCATGATTGTGTAGTGGCGATGCTGAATTAGGATTGCTGCTGTTTATTTGGTCCTGCATATGCTTTTTTTTCTTCTCATGATTTTTTTTGGGTCGAAAGTCTTCCCATGATTTTATTTGTTGTATTATCGGCATATATAGTATTGCTCACTCTGCAAATTATTAACTCGAGCATGTTTTCCAAGCAGGCTGATTCCATGATAAAGGAAGAGGCTCAGTACCTTCGTGTAGCCATGGGCCATGAAAGTGAAGCATTTGAAGAGTTTGTTGATGCACACAAAACTTGCTTAAATGATCTCATGTTCTTCCCTACCCGCAATGCCTATGGACTCTCAAGTGTTGCTGCAAATGCGGAAAAGCTTGCTGCCTTGCAGAATGAATATCATTTTGTTAAAGCAAGGATTGATGAAGATCATGAGAAGGCCCAGCGACTAGAGAAGAAGGTCAAAACTCTCACATTCGGCTATCAGGTATGCCTAAGATGTCTTTTAAACTTTGATTGCTCGTTGCTTTCTCTTCCTTGAATCAAACTGTCCCAGGAATTTGAATCATACTTTGGTTGCTTGTTGTTTTCTCTTCATTCATAATAATGCAAGTAACTATCATTGTTCTCTTCAATATCGTCAAGATGTATCGTGAAGAATTTTGTTTCTTAGTACATTTCCCTTCCAGCTTTGTAACTAATTCAACTCGTCTTTGTAGTATCTACTGGTCGACTCTGGTTCTTATATCTTTTGATTGTGTAGAGTTCATAGCTCTTATTCATATTTTCCATATTGTAAACTCATAATATAAAAATATATATTAAGGTTTACAAAAAGGAACATATATTAAAGTGTTAATCTAATTTTACTGGTTCATCTTGTTTTTTTTTTCAACCATAACCTGAACGGACTTGAAACCTTAAAATAAGCAATCTGAAATGAGTTCATCTGAATTGTTGTGCTTTGGTTAATTCCTCCTGTCTTCTGAGTTTCTTCTTTCTTCCTTTAGGCTGTAAAAGTTGTATGTTCATTGTGATTTTTGCAAACTGTTCAGTATGTTTCCCATCACATGATAGAGAAACTTGCTTTGTTAATACTTGAATGTTTTGTTGGTCATCTTGAGTGATTGATAGTGTGATCGAACTGCTGTGAAATTGCCATGCATCTGTCCAATAATTCTAGGATATACTGCCATTCATGTGATGAGGTCTACTTATTGCCCGGCGAACTGTTTTCTTGATCAGATGCGGGAGAAGACTCTTCGTGACCAAATTGAGTCAACCTTCAAGCAGCTGGACACTGCAGGGACAGAACTAGAGTGTTTCCGAGCTCTGCAGAAGCAAGAGCAATTAGCAGCCTCACACAGAATAAATAGTTTGTGGGAGGAAGTTCAGAAACAAAAGGAGCTTGAGCGAACTCTACAGATACGCTACGGTGCCCTTGTTGCCGAGCTGGAGAGAGCAAGGCATCTCTTTGATGGTTACAGAGCAGAGGCGCAAAAGCAAGAGGAAATCGCGGCAAATAATCGAGCTTTAGAAATAGCCAATGCTGCAACAAATCAAGCAGTTCCATCAAATCAAACAGAAGAAATTGAGGATCCTACGGACTTTTGTCAATCGCTTGATGGAAATCTGGGCCAGGAAAGTCATGCTGCGGAGAATGCTCATGCAGATGACAGAAATGTTTCGACTGCAGCTTCCTCTGAAGGTCCTGTTGATATGGAAGATGAAAAACCTCATGAAGTATTGGTGGGTACAGAACTGATTGCTGAATCTACTGAGCAGGTGGATGTGGATAGCACGATGAGCAAGGAGAAATTGGATGTTGAGGATCAGGATTCTACAATGGAAATGAGAAACTCTAACGGACCCTTAACCGAGCAGATTGAATATGGGAGCACAACCCCTCCCCATAGTAGTAGGCTGGTGAATGACAATTCAGTTCCAATTAGTAGCGATGAGGAGAGGTCAATGTAGGACTGAGGTGTCCAAGTCAATGAAAGATGGGGAGAATCTACCCATAGCAGAAGCAGAATCTTCTTGGAAGTGACTTCAATCTGTATGCAAACAAAGTTGTTTAGTAGTTTGTGGCCAAGCTTATATGCGCTTGAGGGACTGAGTGCATCATCATCCCCGGATTTAGTTCCCACTATACTCAAAAGCAGCATGGAATTGTTACTGATGAGGAGTGCAATTACACAGACGACGATCCATCGTTGAGGTGCTTTCCAATGTTTCTGAGATTTGTGATAGTAGCCATCGGCGAGGCTGCGGATGATAAATTGAAATTCAATTGAGAAAAAGCGGTCATGTCTTTTTGCGAGGTTTGGCAGCTACTCCTGTTGCTTTATGTTGTCCTTGTCCGTGATGCCAAATGCGTTGCAGTCTTGTTCATGCAATGTATCGTGGAGGTGTTACCCGAACTTTGATAATGCTTTTTGGACCGAATAAAGTTGACAGAACTCCCCTTTTCTTCGGTTCCAATCTTTTTTTTCCCGAATGCTGGACTGAGGGTTATGTAAATTATTGTTCCCATCCGTGCTAGGATGCAGAAGTTGTGATAAGCAAAAACTTTGTTTGTGATCGGTTCCTAGTCCGGTCCCACTCAGGAACCGGGAACAATCGGGAACCGGACTGGCTGGTCCTGGGACTGGATTGACCGGTCCGGTCTGTTTCCCGGGGCGGTCCAGTGGAAACGGTGGTGGAATTCCTGCTTACTCTCTCTCAAGCAAGCTCAGGTTGGACTTTTAGCTAATTCTATGTTCTCTCAATTCTCTGAATTTTGCCTGTTTCTGTTTGGGACGAGTGCTTGGGGTTGCTTCTTACTTCTTCGATAGAATTCATCAGGTTGATTTGCCAGTGAACAAGACACGAGTGAATTCGTGCAATTGATTTTTCTTTTTGCCTCGAGATGGTGGAGGGACGACGACCAAATTGTGAACTCTCAGAGTTTGCTGGGTCACATCGCGAGCTCAAGATGTCGTCAAAACAGGCTAAACTAAGTAAACACTAAACAGGTTATGTTATTTGACAAATTACAAACAATTAAAACTATATATAATTGGTTCGGTCCGGTCGGTTCGGTTCTCATCTTGGAACCGGGAACCGGAACGAAAATCACCAGTTCCATTTTTATGGAACCGGGAACTGGACCAATGCCCCCTCGAATCGCTCAGAAACGGTCAGTTCGGTCCGGATGGTTCCTGGTTCGAATGGTCTGCTATGCTCAGGTTGGGTCTCGAGTGTCAAACTGGTATACTACGGCAAATCAAGGTGAAAAAGCTAGGAAATGATCAAGATACTAGACCATGTCCAATCCCATCCTCCTCTTCAACTGCAATTGCTCCCTGAGAGCCTTCTCGTACGTTTCTTCTTGTGGACAGCGACTCGTTTTCGTGGGCCGAAGGAGAGCATGGGTCCTTGCCTTGTGGTTTCAATGACCTCGACGACGATCTCGCGGACGCACTGGAGTCCTTGGGCTTCTTCCTCCTCGATTTCTTGGGCAGATCGGAGAGTTGTGACGGGACGGTGTCGGCGGCGGAGTCCATGGACTGTCGGGTGGTGGTGGGCTTGCTCGCATCTTGTACCTCGGCCTTGGAGGATCTTCTCGGTGGCCGGTGTTTCCCCGACTTGGCCCTGGTTGGTGATTCGGCGTCGCCCGATGATAATGAATGGTTATGGTGTCTCGACGATTTCGGTATTTCCGACGATTCGGTCGCCGGAGAGCTTTTGTAACTCGGGGTCCCCACAATTCCTCTACTTGATTCTGTTTAATGATTTATAAATTAAATTATAAGGCATGTAAATTGCACCGTCGCTATGTGATATAACCGTCACGTCATCATTTTCGTTCGAACGAAATATAAACAAATGCAGTCCCTTTTATTTATTCAGAAAAAAAATGACTAATGTTTGCACCAAATTGGCTATTTTTCCAGCAAAAAAGTCCAGACAAGATCTAAATCAAGAGGAAAAGGAGCACACAACATTGCCATCGTACCTTCGCGAACCCCGCCAAAAGAAGAACCATCCTTCTGGTCATCTCCGGCGCCGGATGATGACGGTTGTTTCGGCGACGACGGTTTGAAGTCGTTCATCTGCATATATTTCCGTTCTCCTCAAGCTCAAAACCAATCCGACGTCGGCCCAAAAATCGGACAAGAGAGACGAGAGCAAGAATTGTTCGACATACCCAGCTTGGCGAGTTCTTCACGGCGGGACCGTCCCAGCCAATGTGAGCAACGTGCTTCACATCAGTGGGATAGCCGATCATCATCTCCGGTTCCTTCGCATCGTCATCTGAATCTACAAGCGCGAGAGTTCATCAGCCAGAGCCGACACGATACGCCAATATTAACATTACAGAAAACGTAGCACTTACCGAATATCTGAGAAATGTACCGGAGGCCCTTGAGGAGGCCCTTCATCTTGGTCGTCATCCTTGCCCGTCACCCGAATTCTCTTGCACAATCAGAAAACTGAACAAAAACTGTTGCTAACCATGTCTCGCCACCGCCGGAGACGGTAACGCCCGAGAAGACAGCTGCCAAAACTGGGCTATCGGTGCTCGAATCTCGAGATCGACGTTAAGCACGGGCGATCCTCGCGGGGATTCGAACGAAAGCTCTCTTGAATTGGACGGGATGAAGAGCAGAAGGAAAGAGATGGGGCCGCTTGACAAAGTTGGAAATCGAAATGATTTGCAGTGCAAGAAGAGAGAAGAAAGAAAGATGGAAAACCAGAAGGGGGTCGCAATTTTAGGGAAGATGATGCTAATATTAGCAAACGATTCTCTTAACTGCTTCTTCTCAACAACGGTAGGAGTTCAAAAGGCTGAATTCCCTCTAGTTGTTGTTTATTGTTGCTCAATAGGATTTTTCACAAGGGAAATCCCATGTACAATAATTCTGGATTTTGACTTTATTTTTTCCTTTTAATTTTCCAAAAGCCATCAACATTGTATATTTAATACACATACACTCTCTAGCACAAAAAGAAAGAACAAAAAAAAAAGAGACAATGAGAAGTGCAATGCGGAGCCGGAATTGTAGTGAAGAGGGGGAAAAAATTAGGGAAATTGTTCAAAAAGTCATAAACCTACTACACTCTTGCCAATTCAATCCTAAACAAGGGTCTGAAGTGATGTACAATCAAAATTGAAGACTTCAAGAAATTTGTAGAAAAATACGTAAATAAATATATAAAAAAGGCACACACCCATGGGTAGCTCAGTTGGTTAGGGCATACTTGGGATTGTGTGGTTAGACGCACTGGTCCCAGGTTCGATTTCCCAGCTGAACACTTGTGATTTAAGTGGGGGGCCATGACGGTGGGTTGCTGTGCTAGTCTCTCTCGAGGAATAGTCGAGGTGCGCGCAAGCTGGCCCGGACACCTCGGTTACCAAAAAAAAGATAATAAATATAAAAAAGGCTTAGAAACAAACCTGCACTTATAAATGAGGGCAAATAAAAGAACGGAAAATTCCAAATAGGGGCTTGGTGTGGATTTGTTTTCTCAAAAGAAGACTCAAGGTGGACATTATCTCAAATAAAGGTTTGAAGTGGCCATTTAATTTCAAATAACCATTTGATCTCAAACAAGGGTCCGAGATCACCGGCAGGCTGAATCTTCGTTGGCGAGCAAACACATGCTTATTCCGGCAGCACGAGCATGGCTTTTTTTTTAAAGACATTTCTTTTTTTGTTTCGTTTTCTTTTCCTATCTTTTCACTGTTGATCTTCTTCATGCTTGGAGGGAAGTTGCAGATCTCCAGGGTCATGATGATAGATAGAAATGTGGGTGAAGGAGCTAAACACATGACACACACACAACCTCTTTGATCAGAGTGAACTAAATACATTATCATCATCAGAAGATGGAGAGATTGTGTGTTGTCTTCCTCCTTCACTCACGTCGGTCCGCGTTCAAGCGTCATCCATGGCTGCCGGCACTGAACGAGCCGTCTCTCTCTCTCTCTACATTCAAAAGCATATTTTTAACCTGTTCCCAAAGCTAGTTTACGATAAAATCACCTTCGACCTCTCTCTCTCAATACCTTGATTTTGCCCCCAAATAGCCATGGGACAGCTGCGACAATAAAACTCTAAACTGCCAGTCCGACAACCGCAAGCACTAAGCAGCATGGCTGTGACAAGAAGAAGAAGAAGTTTGAACCGGCACGGCGCCCTCGCATGTCCGACCGGAAGCAGCAGAAGCAAAAGGGGTTGGAGATTGCTGTGAGGCCTAATCATCACGCCGCTGACCAAGTGCAAGCTCAGGTTGCTAAAGCAGGAGCAGATCAAGGACTACCTGCTCAGGGAGGAGTTTGTGACAAACGAATATCGGCTCAAGCCATGGCCACGAGCGACCATGGCTCTTTCGGCGCCGGTGGCAATGGATGACCAGATTTGAAGAGCTGGCCAAGAAGACGCTTGAATGGGCCGACGACCATGGAAGCCAACCAGATCTAGATAGAAACGTGGGTGAAGGAGGAAGAGAGAAAAAGTGAAAAGAAAAAAAAAAGAAAACTCAGCTAGCCGGCAATGATTGGACAATTATTTCCCTGATTATGCCGCCAGAATAAGAATGTGATCGCTAGCCGGCAATGATTTGACCAACCAGCAAGCTTAGGCTTTTATTTGAGATTAAATGGCCGTTTCAAATCCTTATTCCAGACAACGTGCACTTCGGGTTCTCTTTTGAGAAAACTCATTAATTTCAAGCTTTTATTTGAAATTTTTTCTAAAAGAATCCTCACCACATTTTAACCTGAATTACCAAACCTTGTACTTGTGGCCCTAGAAATTAAATAATATTCATCTTGGTCAAATATTATGTAGGACAACAGGTATGCTTTTATTTTGCTATTGCAAATAGTTTCAAAATAGGACAACTTTCATGAGTTTGTATTTCTCTTTAAAAACATAGTTGAAAGAAGAAAGATGACTCGTTTTACTTATATTTTCCTGTAACATGCGTAGATATGGCTTTTTGCAAGATGATGAAATAATCAATAAATGCAAAAAGGCACCAAAAAAAGGCAAAAAAAGCACAGCAACAAGCATCTGAATTGTAGTCCTAACATATCATAATGTCTCTGTCACGTACACACTATGCTTGAACTACAAGTTATGGAACTTCTGAGTTTTGCAATTTTTTTAGCAACTTATACTACTAGATTCGGGGGCAAAAAAATGGGATTCGCGTCGATACAAAAGACCACAAACAATTAAAAGCAGTTGAAAATTACTAATATCCGTGAAATGTGAGTGGCCTAGTCCAGTCAACATAATAGTAATAAAAATAAACATAACTTACATCAATAGTTTGAAAATTGAAGAATAATATATTTGAAATTAGTCGCAAACTCTAAATAGAAATGTTTAGGTTTGCAAAGCACAATTAACTGCCCTTAACAAGTGCCTTAGGGGCACAAGTTAATATTTTCCATTTGCTTTTATGATTTACATTGTGCTCACATTTTGGTGCATCTGTATAATCATTTGTCAATTCCTTTGTTTTGCCTTTTGTGTTTTTGATAATTGAACTGCAACACCAATGTACAGAATACATTTCACTTCATTATCCCTCTTTCCATTAATACTGCTTACCATGGACCAGCGATCTAAAGGAGAAAACCTACAGAGCCAGAAACACAACTCGTAGCTTAGCTTGAGAGCTACTCTCAGTTTCTGCAGACAAGAACATTGCATACCAAGCAGATGCATCTTTCAAGAGCAATAACTCTTTTCCAATGTGATTCCAACTCCAAGTCCTCCGCAGTGACCAGGACCAGAAATGGCGAATACATGTGCTGTATCATCCAACAAGAGTTGATGCTCGGGATCCACCTTGGGCAACGCCGCGACATATTGAGGGAAATGACTTGAAAAGCTGATGCTTTGACTATGATTGCTTTGTCTGCAAGATAAAAGAACCGTACGTTCAACAGCGCTCTATACATTCAGTTATGAGAGAGAGAGAGAGAGAGAGAGAGAGAGAGAGAGAGAGAGAGAGAGAGAGAGAGAGAGAGAGATGAGACTACCTTATTCAGGTACTTCTTTTGAATCTTTAATGCTACTTTGCATGCCTTTTTGGCATCTAATTTTCCAGTTGTCTCACCCAAAATCTACACAAGATCATAAGAGGAGATGAAAAACCCAGTTTGATCGATTGATTGAGAGAGAGAGAGAGAGAGAGAGAGAGAGAGAGAGAGAGAGAGAGAGAGAGAGCGACCTTGACAACATCATCCAGTCCCTTGGCCTCCTTCAAAAGGGCCTTATTCTTGGTCTCTAGCACGCTTGCAACGAGAAAAACAGCAAGAGCACTCTCATGGTCTACATGTCCGGTCTTTACCTTTTCCTTCTCAAATTTACCACATTGCTTCATTAGTAGCTTCTCATCCACCTTGAGTGCTGTCTCAGCTACAGTTCTTTCCTCCTTGTACATTGAGAATATATTTGGGTTGTACTCCATAGCCCATATCAGCTGAAAATCAATCTCCATTCAAATTCTCATTGCGACGACACAAGCATAAACACTAATACAATCTCATTAAAACCTAAACTTTCATAAACTGTTTTAATCAAGGTAATCTATTTGACAAGGGGACAAAATTCAAATTTCAAGTAGCTTCCTCACCTCCCAAAGGTATAAAGCATCAACAAATGATAATTCCCTTCGAAAAAGAACCATTAGCATACGAAATGCAAATAAATACGCCCCACCATCCAGATCCTCTGCAAAAAAATAGGAACATGTTAACCATGTCGATGTTTCTTAATCTTCCCCCTCACCCCCATATCTGGAAACCAAAGAAAGGGATATCAATGAAGGTAGCCCATGTGTTGATAATTACAGTTGTAGTTTTCAAATATTGTACCTTCTGAGACTTTCCTGGTCGCTCTAAAAGCTTTCAAACTCAAAATCTCCAAGAATGTAAGAGTTCACAAAAGAAATCTGAAAGAAATATTCGTATCTATATATGATTCTTAAATAGGAGACCTTAATTCAAACATTATTGTTCCAGTTAATGCTTCAACAAATCAGTTTTCAGCCCTTCGAAGCTCTTTTAAGAGTTTCATGTCATGTCTTCAATGGAGCCTGATTTTAAGTCATCTGTTCTTATTACAGAGAGGAACTAGAGCCGCCGATAAGTGAATCGACTTGTTAACTAATGCTCCTCGTTTACGACTTAAAGCTTGACTTGCTGACTGCTCAGCTGCCTGTGCATAACAAAACTCATTTTGAGTTAAAAGCATTTGAAATCGACTAGCTCAAGTGTCAAATCTAGTTGAGCTTAAATTCGGTAAAGCTCTAGCAGATTTTGAGCCTAACTGAGTTTGTATACTTTTTGTTAATTCCATGTATGGTAAGAAATTAATAATATTCAGTATTCAATTTCAGTTTACTATAAAATAATTTTTCATTTCCATTTGTAGCTAATAAAGATGTTTTTTTTTGGTAAGGATGAATACATGGCTAGCTAATAAAGATGTTGTTGACAATTAAACTTCAAAATTTTTTTTTTCAGCAAAGTCATGCTTATACAATTTTCAAGCAAATAAACACTAGGAAAACTCGTATATCTTTTTTACTAGGGAAAAAACCACCAAAAACCCCAAACTTTGCCATCTGTGACACATTTACCCCGAACTTTTTTTTGTGACACCAAAAACCCCGAACTTTGCTTTTTGTGACACATTTACCCCAATGTATTTAGTCCATGGGCATTTTCGTCTTTTCTGCTTTTTCTTTTTTTTTTTCTTTTTTTTTCCTGGCCTCGCCGGATCCGGCGAGGGGGGCCCTCGCCGGCGTCGAGCGAGGGCGGCCCTCGCCGGCGTCGGGCGAGGTTCGCCCTCGCCTGGGCGAGCGAGGGCGGCCCTCGCCCGACTCAGGCGAGGTCGACCCTCGCCGGCGTCGGGCGAGGGTCGACCTCGCCGAGTCGGGCGAGGGCCTCCGCGCCGGATCCGGCGAGGCCGCCCTCGCTCGACGCGGCGAGGGTCGACCTCGCCGAGATCGGGCGAGGGCCGCCTCGCTCGCCCGGGCGAGGCGGACCTCGCCCGACGCCGGCGAGGGACGCCTCGCCCGGGCGAGCGAGGGCGGCCCTCGCCCGACTCGAGCGAGGTCGACCCTCGCCCGACGCGGCGAGGGTCGACCTCGCCAGATCGGGCGAGGGCGGCCCTCGCTCGCCCGGGCGAGGCGGCCCTCGCCGGCGTCGGGGCGAGGTTCGCCTCGCACTGGGCGAGCGAGGGCGTCCTCGCCCGACTCAAGCGAGGTCGACCTCGCCCGGACGCCGGCGAGGGTCGACCTCGCCTGAGTCGGGCGAGGGCCGCCTCGCTCGACGCGGCGAGGGCCCCCTCGCCGGATCCGGCGAGGCCGACGCGGCGAGGCCCTCACGGAAGGAAAAAAAAAAAAAAAAAAAAGAAAAAGCGGAAAAGACGAAAATGCCCATGGACTAAATACATTGGGGTAAATGTGTCACAAAAAGCAAAGTTCGGGGTTTTTGGTGTCACAAAAAAAAGTTCGGGGTAAATGTGTCACAGATGGCAAAGTTTGGGGTTTTTGGTGGTTTTTTCCCTTTTTACTAATATATAGAAAGATTGTTATGATCCTAATTGTAAAGTATCGGACTTGGATCCTACATTGATGGTATGGGACTTCAATATTTGGGCTCTTCCACCTCAATTACTAGCTTTTGGGGTGACTTTCTCCTAAGCTCCATATCAATTGGGCATTGAGACTGCAGAGCATGGTGGATTGTTATGATCCTAATTGCAAAGTATGGAACTTGGATTCCACAATGATAGTATGGGATCTTGATGTGTGGTTTCTATGGCCTTGGACCTCTCCCACCTCAATAGCTAGCTTTTAGGATCCTAAGGTTCATATCAAAGACATAGGCCCGGTTCTTCTTACGAACATGCATGTACATAATACATCCAGACACATCCTATTTAGCATGCATGAAGGCAAGATGTACAAGTTTATATAGAAAGAGATGCATAAAAATAAGATTTACAATTTTAGCATCACTAACTTATGGAATCTTTGTTATCAAAAAAAAAAAAAAACTTATGGAATCTTGCGGCTACATTAGTACAAGCATTGAGATTAATACACTTCAATCTATCATTCAGTTGCAAATGCAGGATCCAGCTTTTCTTGGAACATATTTGGTACTTATATGGAAAAGCTCTCATCCATTTTACTTTTATGACATCTCTTTTAGTATACCATCTTCTAGTAAAGCCCAAAAATACAAATACAAAATGTACATATGAAGAAATAAAAGAAAAAGCGAATATACCAAGATGTTGATGCAGTTGAGGGTCTATAGTTTTGATAATTGTGGAGAGTGTACCGAGTTGAGATTGTACTCCGATCGAACTTGTAGTGCACCTAAAGTTTTCCCTCTTCCCAAGGAGGAGGAGAATGAATTAGATGTACTCAAATTCCAAAGAAAAGATCCCACTCAATACTGAAAGAAAATGAGGCATAAATGATGAACATCATTCACATATCCACTATCCTTGAGACTCAATAGTATTTTAATAATATAAACAAGCTAGAAACCACAGATGTGTAAATAAAGCTGTCAATCGTCTATGATTCTTTAAGAAATTTGTACTGACTCTACATTCACCGCGTGCATTTGCAGAAAAAGAGATGGTAAACTTATAGCGAAATCTACATGTCATCATGTCTTCTCTTTCTCAATCTAGAAAGAGGCATTTCCAAAAATATGTTCAGTAATTTTAATAGCAAAAGTGACTCATCATATTAAAATATTTTGTTCGGAAAAGTGTTTGTTGTACTGGCAAGTGAGCTATTTTCATCTTTATAACTTCACAAATGATATTACGTGTGCAACATACTTGGCACATCAAGACACCAAACGGAGATCATCAAACTCACAAAGATGGAATGCCAAAAGCCAAATAATCATCTACAACAAAGAGCTAAGAGCGCACTAGTTCACTGACATAGAAATTTCAAGCTAAAAAAGCATACCAGTCTTCGCATTGCTCGCTCAAAGCACCAAAAAGCATCAGCTTCATGTTCCAAAAGTATTACCATTGGGGAGCATATGTCATTCATTCCTGCTCAGATATCATTGAAGTAAAATTTCGTCATTTCACTTCAAAGCATGAAAATAAAGGAGCGTCTTTACCAACCTTGAACATATCCGATATCACTGTCTACCCAAGCATAAACAGCAAGAACGTCCCAAAGTTTTGCCTGATTGATTTCACTTTCATAAAATGAAAGAGCTCGATCAGTTCGAACAACATCCAAACCTATCTCCATATTTAATAGCATATGTCAAGTGCCATGGAAAGAAGAACGCCATTGGAATTATAAATATTATGTACTCACAATACTCACTGGGAACAGCTTAGAAAAAGACAATTAAGACCTCTAAAAGTGTTAAGAAAAGACCATCACTTCAAGCTCTATCTCAAGCAGTCTTTCTTCTATGGTACAGATGCAAGGCTGAGCCCACGTAACTACCAGCATGAGATTACTTTACGTGAACAATTCTGAAGCTACCGCATTGATGCCCACAAAACCACACCAATTGAGTACTCTTCCAGGAATTCTCTGGGGCAGCAGATTCTGCTATTTCAAAGTTGCAGTAGCTCCAATGAAGCGCGTGAAAAGTTTTTAAGATGTGGAAGAAAGAGAGCAGAAATATTTGAAAGCCAATTTTTAAGCAGCAGGTCAGAGGTGCTTTTTAAGTTTGTCGTTCCAAATATCAAATTTGAAGTTTTTTTTAGTTTCAGTAAGTTTCAATATCTAAATTGTTTGTTCAGAATCTATGAATAACTATAGCACATTATTATATCATTTAACAAACGCTTTCTATAGCCATAGTTACAACATAACACGAGAAAATTAAAGCCCACATTACAGCACCAAAAGCTACGGAACAGTAGGAGGCAAGCAGAACAATATACCAAGGATGGAGACCATAACAGGAGAACAACCACAGCAACCAAGGATCATTAGTTTCTAAACCACTAATTTATACTAATAGATGACATCATGGAAGCACATACCAATTTGGTGCAAAATGAGTTTCCAGTTTTTCACTTTCTTTTTGTCCATATTTTCTACGAGCCCTTCATGACTGATGGAGGGATCTAAAGATGAAGTTGACACAGCTCCATTGCAATCCTTATCAGCATTCAATTGTTGGTCATTATCATTTTTGATAGGTAAGGTGATGACCCTCCCACTGCCAATTAGTGGAACCATCTTCTGACATTCTGCTTTCCATATCCCATACTGCTCCCTGTGATTGACATAAGGTGCATAACTAACCAAGCTAAATAAGATTAAATTATGAGTAAAAAAAGAAGATAAGAACCAAGTCAAAGGGCGAATACCATCCTAGGTTAGGAAGAAATCTAAAAGAATGCACAAAAGCAAATGCTCCACTTCATATGTCCAAAAATAAAATAACACAAGTTTGTTAAAATAACAGAAGAGATTTTACTAAAGCAGACTGAGATCTAACTTTCCCAAATTCAATTACACTGAGCTTCAGAGAGATAAGTGAGCATGCACTAGGTTATTATCCTTCACGTTAAAACTTAACAACACAAGTCTAGAAGTTAAATGCATATGTTTTTCAAGCCAACTTAGGACCCACTTGTGAGAGGTTTCCTTGCCTGATTATAATGCAAAATCAGTTTAAAGTAAATAACATACAGGTACTAATTATAAAAATGAAAGAGTAAGAAAAGCCGTCAAAATCATTAAAGTGCTCTTTTAGGCTCTTAAGTAAAAAGGACAACAGCTAATGGAAAATATTCTGCCCAGAAATAAAAAAGTTCAAAAAACCAGAAGATATTTTGTCACTAAAAAACCACAAGTCACAACGACTTAAACATCACAACTTCCAAAAACATTAAGCTACAACATGAACAACTTTGATCTCCCGTGATATTATTGCTTCCAATGCCAACTTCCTAAGTTTTATTTCTATTACCTTCCTGCATATGGAGGCCACAGTGACACTCTTCTACCAAAAACTGACAATGAGAAGTGTAATGACATATCCTTAAGAAGGTTAGCTGCTAACCTGGGGACCAATTAATGTCCAATAAACTAACTAATAATGCAGATATTACATTGATGAACATCGAATGCTCTGATCACCATCTTATCCATGGACATGATTCATCTAGAGAAACTTCTCTTATTAGATTGATATGAACAAACTGAGCCATTGCTCTCTTTCTTGGAAACCAGAATTTAACTAATTCATGACTACTGCAGCACTTTGTGCCAGTGATAGTGAAAGATATATCAAAAGAAATGATCAGAAATTGTTACTCAACCCATATTAAATTTGAGACTATCCAAAGTATTAGTTTACACATCTTGTGAAGCCACAATTAGGACTAGAAGCAGAACATTACCTCCTTTGTTGCCTCAGCTGATTTCTCTCATCAAAGGTGCTGTTGGGATCAAAGCATCCCAGTAGGAACTCCCACACAACTCCTCTAATTGATGGATGGACCCCCTAATATGGTTACCGGATGAAAATAAAATCTTTACTTGATTAGGCAGATGAACAAGAACCAAGCGTACTGACTCTGGGGCAGGCACCTATATAGGCTTAAGTACCACCCTTACTAGCATTAGAAGTATTCTTTTAAAATAACGCCAGTCAAATTTAGAGAATCCCCTTCAAGGGATGGAAGGCACAGATAAGTAACAAAAGATAAATTCTAGGATATGCACATATGCAAGACAGTTCATGATGACAGGCACCAATTTGATTCGTATTCCTTTTTTTTTCCACTTTTTATTGTCTTTTTCATAATATTGGATGACAACCCCAAAAAAAGGATTAACTCTTGATTGCCATCAGACCCATAATGGAGCTCATTTCCTTCAAAACCAAATCTCTGTGAAGTAGGAAATACTTAAAGCTGCAATCTAATCATTATGATGGCACATTTTGTAACTAGGCTTTGAACAGATCCAGCATCAAACAGATGGTTAACAGGATAAGAAATGTCTAAGTCCTTCAATGAAAAGTCCTGGGTCCATTCTTGATTGACCTTTTCATTTAGTTGCATTAGCTTTGCTCAAATTTAGATACACATAAAAATACATACATCATACCTAGATTGGTGATTCCAATTAATTGACTACATCATACCTAGATTGGTGATTCCAATTAATTGACTCTCTACTAGACAAAGTTTGGCTTATCTCAATCTCCCTTTAGGTCATACGATTGTTAGCCATAACGGAAAGGGAGAAAGAAGACGAGGGGAAGCATTACCCCCCGTTGGATGCGACGGAGCACTTTGGCAATGTCCATGTGACCTTTCTCCGAAAACGCAGCATGCCATTTCCTCGCGCTCAGCGTCTTCCCAGGCTGCCAAAAAAAAAGAATTAGACTGATTACAATTCTTCCTCAAAGTAATTCACAATCATGGTCTTCCCCATGAAAGCACACAAACCATAAAGAGCAAATACGTGGGCAAAATCTACCTTAACCTTAAAACGGGTCTTGCGAGCATCATCATTGCACTCCGGTCTGACTGGGTAGAATGCGTTCAAATCAACCCCATCAGATCTCTTCAGAATCATCCCACAACCGAACATTCGAATCCCTCAATCCAACAACCTAATACTATCTCTCACCACCTGCGAATGCCCATCAACGAGAAGGGACAACAAAGAACAGAAAAGAGAGGGGAAACTGCAGATTCAATCCCGACGTCATTCTGAGTAGAATTTATCGACGCGTTCAACGAGCGAATCTAACCTGGGGAGTAAAGAATGGGATGATGAGGATGGGCGATGTGTTCAGCAATTCGCGAGCATTTGGAATTTCTGGTGTGTTGTGATTTGAAAGGAACTTTATGCAAACGAAGGAATGAAGCATTCTTTACGTGAATACACAAGAGAGGGAGAGATTCATGTAGTTTTCGACGGAACAGAGGTTGCTGTCTAAAATTCAATTTCCATGTACATATTTATGATCTTCGACCTCTTTAGATACAGAGGGATAAAGCCCGACAAGATAGACATAGCGTTGGATAAGATTATCACATTTTTAGTTGGCAATATGACTGGAAATAGAGGTAGGAACGACTCTATCTATCTAACCTGCGTTGGGTCGCTTGGATATGGATCAAATATGATATAAAATCCTTGCGATATGAGGTTAGCTAATATATTGTATGGTAAAGTACTGAAATCCTTTGAAGTGTCCGAAATGAATTGAGAATATGATTAGATACAATAATAAAAAATTACACAAATTACTTTAAAAAAAACAAAATAAAAACCCTAGATCTACTATCAAAACAATGACCACTTCCATGATGGTTAACAGGATAAGAAATGACTCTATCTATCTAAGCTGCGTTGGGTCGCTTGGATTGGGATCAAATGTGATCTAAAATCCTTGAGATATGAAGTTAGCTATTATTTCGTTTGGTAAAGCACAAATATTACGATGCATATGGTTGATTCTGATCTTCTAACGTGTATGGTGAACTCAGAAAATGATTACATAAAAGATAATAAAAATTTAGATAAATTACTTTTAAAAAAAAACCCTAGATCTAAGGATGCCCCTATGTCGGATTGTGATTGAAATCCATAGAGATAGAGAAGGTTAGATGCACGAGGGGTTGGTTCAATTAGGGGTGTGCAAATGAACCGGGAACCACCTGAAACTGGACCGGATCGGTGATTCCCATGGGGACCAGTCTGGTTCCTGTTGGAACCAATGAATATCGATTGAGTTCCCGGTTCTAGACGTGAAACCGCTCACTCGGACCGAATATATATTTAAAAAAAAATCCATGTTGTAGTTATATTGTGAAATCTGCTTATTCGATTTCACAAGAAGTAACATGCCTGCACAGAGTCCGATGATTCTGAAAGCTAACAAGGAAAACTCTTATTAGATGAAGTGATGAAATATTTCTTCAGAGAATGGCTTCTGGTTTGCTTCCCTTGAGAATAACTTTGTCTCAATGTGTTCGCTTACAATCAGTACTTTTTTGATTAATTACGTGATGAAACCGAAAAAATATCCACATAGAAACTAGGTTCACCATGGTATTGATTAATGAATGCAATTTGGTAGGGATTGAGGATTGGTTTCATGGACCCACCCGAGAACTAGATCGGACTAGCAGTCTAGTTCTCGATGGAACCAGCAGGTGGTCTCGGTTCCAATTTTTCGGAATCAGTCCTTAGTAGGTGGTTCCTGATTTCAGGGTGGGAACCGCCCACCTAGACTATGCTCACACCTAGGTTTAATGACTAGTGGTCGCCAAGGGAGCATGACCACTGTGGGGGTATAAAAATTAATGACTGTGCACGAGAGGTTAGGTTAGGTTGGGTGGGGGGGGGGTGGGGGGAGAGGGCAGGTGAATGTTAGATAGGCTATATAGAACAACATTGGATAAAATGTTACATTGTTATTTGACAACGTATACGACTATATCTACTAAGTTGCATTGGGTGGTTTTGGTATGGATCGAATAAGATATAAAACCTTGATAGAATAAAGTTAGACGGGGGGAGGGGTCAGTCTAACATTGGATAAAATGTCACATTGTTATTTGGCAACGTATATGACTACATCTATCTAAGCTGCGTTGGGTGGCTTCAATATGGGTCGAATAGGATATAAAATCTTGAGATATGAAGTTAGGCAATGTTCGTTTGGTAAAACACCCGATATTACGATGAATATGATCGATTTTGATCCTCTGAAGTGTTTGGCGAACTTAGAATATGGTTAGATAAAAAATAACACAAATTTATATAAATTACTTTAAAAAAAGGAAAACCCTGGATCTACTATCAAAACATTGCCACTTCCACATTGGTAGCCCTATGTTAGTGGTTCCATCGCGATCGAAAGAGACAGGGGGTTAGAAGGTATTGTTTCAATAGTGACCAGGGTCTCCAAGGGAGTGCGACCACTCCCGGTTCACAATGTCTCAGCCAAGAATATAGATATGAGAGAGAGAGAGAGAAGGTGAAGATGAAGGTAATTTACAATCTTTGCATCTATAAAGATTTACCAAACCAAGAGGTAACTTACGAATCAATAGGCATTTTAAGAATCCGAAAGGTAATTTACAAACTGCAATTTATAATTTACGATACAATAGAGAATGTTACTGCAACAAATTTTTTTTAACACTTTACTAATAACTAGCCTCCCTGCAAGCATTATGCGCGCGCACAGTTCACTAGACAATGTCGATTGTTATTTAATTTAATGCTTAGTGTATTTCGTAAAAGAGGAGAAATGTTTGTACATTCACCCCAAAAGCCATGAGACAAAAATAGCACAAAGTTTTTTCATAAACGAAATATTTATATTGCTCCAATAAATTTGTTTAAGTAAAGCAAAAAAAAAAAAAACTGTTAAACAGACAAATGGTTTTGTCGAGAACGAAAACTTTTAAATTCTCGTACACTGCGTCACTGGCGACATTTTCTGTGGCCCGGCGAAAGAGATAAAGTAATGTCAAACGAAACAATATTATGCAGTTAAAATGCTTCCTCTCAATCATCCGACACAATATATTCGAAGTGGTTGACCTTAAAACACAATAAATTCCTAGTAGTAGGAGACATCTAATTTTGCCCGAAGGATAAAGTATAAATTAGTAATTGTGAGTTGGTATACAAAATTATTGATATGTTATTGATTTGTATTATGTAGTCTTTCTATTGTTAGGCTTTTATCTGTACATTGACCGTAATTAATAACTCCTATAAATACATATCATCTAATCCTAATTAGGGTCAATTCACCATAGACATTTTGTCGTTATTCTCTCTGACTCTAATGATCAACATAGTATAAGAGTAGAAAACCACATCAATTTCTTTAACATCTTTACCCTAAATCAACACTTCTTTTTCTCCTATTTCTATCTCAACAATGGATAAAATACTTGTGAAATTGATGTTAGGGGATAGGGATGGCTATGTTTCTAGGAGCGAACTCCGGGCAAACATATAATAATTTAAAAAGTCATAAAGCTATTGTATGACGGCCAATTCAGTTATAAACTTTTCAATTTTGCCAATTTAGTCATAAACTTTTGATTATTTTCCAATATAGCCCATTCAGCCAATTTTGATTGGAAATCGTTGATAAGGTGGTCTAGTCAGCGCTAGCTATTACATGTGGCATGATTGATGCTAATGTGGATGATTTTTACAATTTTTTTAAAATTTTATGATTTTTTTCTTATTTTTTCTTATTTCTCTATCGATCACTGGCCACAAGCGAGGGCTACAATGTCCTCACCAGATTTGAGTGAGGCCATTTGGCGAGGACCACAATGCCCTTGCCATACGGTTGTTGCTTATGGCCAGCAATATGTGGAAAAACAAGAAAAAAGATAAAAAGAAAGAAAAACAAATGACAAAAAAGAAGAAAACTTCAGAAAATTTTAAAAAAATTGCAAAAATCATCAATGTCATCATTTTTTATCCAAAGTTGACTGGATGGATTACATTGGAAAACCATCAATAAGCTCACGATTAAATTAACAAAATTGAAAACTTTATGACTTAATTGATTGTCATATAATTGGTTTAGGATCTTGACAATTCTCCCTCTAGGCGAATATGAAGTGCACATGGACACAAATTATGACTTAATTCTGAATCATCTTTGTCTACGAATAAGGAAGTTATAAATAATGCAACTATGAATCTCATGGAGTGTTGTATCCTGACTCAAGATGAACGCTAGTGGCATGCTTAACACATGCAAGTTGAATAGGAAGTGATATTTCCAGTGGCTGACGAGTGAGTAAAGTGTCAAAACTAGTCCATGGGAGGGGAACAACAGCCGGTTGTTAATACCCATGGGATGAGGGGCAAAAAGAGGACTTGAAAATAATATAGGAAAGCTTGCCTTATTTTTTCCAGTAGCTCACCGATATACGCAGGTGAGTTCATATTCGTTATTAGCTAATGTGACATTCTGAATTCGACCCACTGCCGGGATCAATGAAATGAAAGTGTATTTCTCATTTCGTTTTAGTAAGTCTCGCCCAGAATTGATCACTCTCGGGATACTGACCAGTAGGGAATGGCTAACTAGAAAAACGGTACGTGGACCCAAGAACTCGACCGTGAATCGAGCTTAAATTCCGAGAAACGACGAGGGAATATTTTAGGCTAATGTGGGCCGATCCAAAGAGGGTGACGGATTTGGTATTGCCAACGACGTACAATCGGATCGCGAGTGATTCCGCACGACCGAGAGTACGCGTAGCGAACGATCCTAAACCTACTCCGAGCGATCGCGACCTCCGGAACTAGCGATAAATCCTCGCGTTCTCTTGGAAATCGAAACCGTCATGGCTCGAGTAATCCTAGGTCGATACGCGTAACTCCTAAAAAGCCGTCCATTAGTAAGAGACGCTAAAATCGCATTTGAGCGAAATTGATCGTTGAATTGAATCCGGACTTGAGTGTTGAATTTCACGGACGTACGCGACTAATTTGCAAGGACGACGTCGTATTAGTGTGGCCAATCATATTTGGGATCGGTATGGTTGAAAAATGGATTTTCGAACCGGGAGTGAAAAATTACCATTTTGCCCCTGAGCCCTATGCATTAATTCCGAAAATTGGGAGGTTAAATTGGACTTGTTCAGCCCCTAATGTGACCGAAAATGATGGTCAATTATGCCCCTATCACTCTTGCTCATCCTAGCCCTTGGTTGTGGATAAATGTGATTTGTCTTTGAATCTTGGCCATTGGATCAATGTGTTAGTGGGGTGGGTAGATTGGTAATTGTTAGTGGAGTGGTTTACCAACTCCCACTCAAGCCTTTGTGTTTAAACCCTCATTCTCTCTCTCTCCCCTCATTCCCCATTTGGTCGGCCACTCCCCCTCTCTCTCGCCATCTCTCCACTCTATTCCTCCCCTCCTCATCCACGTGAGCCAGCCCCCGCCGGAGCAGCCACCGCCGCGGCCGCGCCGCCC